AGGAATGGCGGGGCAGGGAGTTGAGGATGAGGGAAGCCCCTTCCTTACCAAATAATGTTCCACCAAGAAGACGTCTTTAATTAAGAGAGTTTCACAAGCTGAGCCCCTTAAACACAGGCCTACCCCTTAAAGTTACTCTTGGGGAATGAGTTAATTTTCCCATTTAATTACCACCTTATTCTTCAGCACCAGGAGAAAATGCTATTTTGGGAGAGATGTAAAACCTATCCTTCAACGTCCATTGGTGGAGTGACTTTGCTAGCGCATCAGAGATGTGGACACAAGTGTACAGCTCGAACTGGCATCACGTCCCAGTCTCGTGGTGCCTAGTTCCTGTCCTCTCGTTCCTCTGTTCTTAAATTCTGCTGTCTCCTGCTATTTCCTGAGAGCTGAAAAAGAGTGCATATTTCAAAATCTATGAAGAGCATGCTGACACATTACAACTGACAAATGTTTCCTTCTCTCCTGATTAGCCCAACAAATTCAAACTGAACATGGCTGTAACAAAGCCCACAGGACATGTTTGGCATTTGCAAGGACCAACACAGCACCGAGTAGGGTTGTATGATGCTTGGGATTCAAATGTAGAGGGAAGCCTTGTGAAGTTGGGAAAAGACGCAGCTGCTTTAAAGAACTGCGGGAAGCTGTTCCATTCATGCTCCTGCACACCTTGAAGACCACTTTCGGAAATAAATTTGAAGCGTTGCGCAACTCTAGTATAAATCTATCCAGTGATAACCAGTGGAGATAATTAAGACTTCCTTGGCTGAGCCCCCAATATCCAAAGGCAGAATTTAAGAAATCCTAGAGTCCATTTCATGAATGGAACAAGTTCCCCCTCTGGAATTCCTAAGGTCCAATGCAAAATGGGGGGAGGGGCTGTACATTGTAATAAGAATAGCTATATCAGTCCAGGATGGGGGGGGGAGCCAAATTGACAACTCCAGTTGGGGAACCCAGGATAAGGGGTGGCAGGTGCAGGAAGCAAATGGTAAACTGGCAGTTTCAATCTCAGAGGGAAGATTTTTTTTTCCTGCTCTGAGAAGAACAAGATTTGTTTGCTGGAGAAATCAAAATATCTAGCACTTCTAGAAGGCATCCTCAAGAAAGCAAGAGCAAAGTTCGCATTAACGTTGCTTAGCACATCTCCATGCAGATGGAAGAATTGATCCCATATCTCTGAAGCACTTTCCCCACTGGCAGTTTTCATATTCTCAAAAGTGGACTACGGTTCCCAAGATGTTCTGGGTAATTTCGCTGTCTTCCAATTCTGCAGAACTTAATCAAGTGGGATGAAGGTGTGGACTTTTCCCAGATCAGGGTGAAGTTCAAAGTCCAAGATATCCCTCCAAAGATGACGCTTTGGTCCCTCAAGGACACGCTGTCTATCTAGGAAACACCTTTTTGCACAATAGCAAGAGTGTCTGCTTAGCAGGAAAAAGGATTTGTTGGTATGATACAACGAATATATATAACTTAACTACTGGGAGAAACAGGCATGAACATAAGGACAGAAGCTGGAGAAGGCAATCTTCTAAAAAGATTCTAAAAAAGGATATTAGTAAGATTGTGAAAGTAGCTTTAAATGATTCTTAAAACATAAATACAACCAAAGTCATGAGATGCTGAGCAACCTTTGAAAACTCATTGTCATACTCTGAGAACCCCTCGTTCTGCTAAACTTACAATATTGATTTGCTGACACCATGAAGATGACACTGGTGGGAAATTGTTGCATTTCAGGATGACCAATACACCCTTGTGTAACCTTGTAAGTCTATGTCGTATATTTTAAATCAACAATACTGTATTTTCTCTTTTTTTTTTTTTCCTTTTCTCATCTGGATTTCTGTAAATTGTTTATGTCCATCTATTGGCAAGTAAACATATGATGTGTCCAGCCCAATTACATTTCTGTTGAAATGCTATTTTTATGACAACTTTGAAGCTAGCTCCTACAATTACAGCACACACACACACTTGGATGACTGCCTATAAGATGGAAAGATGGACTACAAGAAGATCTTGCTCCCAGCTGGAGCACATAGCAAAAGATGAAATGAAATGGAAGTATCTGTTGAAGTCGTTGCTTTGGATATCAACACTATCTGGACAAACACAATGATAAAATGAAAGTGGTTTCTGTAAATGGGCTATGTGACTCCATCTCATATTAAATAACATTTACAAGCCAATTACAAAGGCTGCTAAAATCCCACCTTTGCAATTAAGGGATAACAATGAGCATATTTACTATTTATACAAAAAAGAATGGACAGGAAAATAATCCAATAGAAGAGAATATCATCTGCCTCAACATTCATCAAAGGCCTACGTTAAATCAGAGTCTGAAAGAAACCAGGCATTTATTTACACTTGTTAAAGCGAGTCAACTCAGACAAGCTGGTATTTGGAAAGTCAGAACTGGCAAATGGATGGGTCACGTGAGCAACTGTAGGAAACAGAACTTCATCCTAGTTAAGGCTAAAGCCAATCCTTCTTCAGAGGGGTAAGACTCACCTGCACACTAGAGTTGCAATTATGACGCACCATGCCGTACAGCAACAATCTGCGTTCAGTTGTTCTTCACTCTTCCGATGGTGACAACACAACCAGAAGGAGTAGAGAAGGAGGAACAGGAGATCCAGGGCGAGGCACATCAAAGAGACCGCTCCCAACAGCAACAGGGCCTAAAGTGGTCACAACAAATCGGGTTAAGCAACAGGAGTTTACACAATACAATCTGGATAATAATCGACAGCAATTCTGAACAATGAACAACTAGGGAAGGGGCCGTTGTTCATGTAGGAAATCTGTGACTACGTAAGATCTCACTAGAACAGCCAACAATGCTCCTTAGTGCTCAGACAGGTTACTTTGGGCAACATGTGGGTTCCTATTCAAGGGCGCCCATGGGAAGGGGGTCAAAAAAATCAAGAGGGCCACAACCGTGAAATCAAAGCCTTTCTCTTTGTTATGGCATCACGCGCACACCACCGGCAAAAAAGAGGCACTGTCTCTACTGCACACTTGTGGCTACCATCTTGACTTTTTTGATCCCCCCTTTCCCACAGATGCTCCTGTCCCTACTTATATTCCTTAAGACAGCAGGTGGGTATGTATTTTGTAGACCCACAAGGCAAGCAACAGAATCAAACCTGACAGCAAAATTCAAATATAAACTCCTCAGTTCTAACCCTCTGACAAGGACGATACATCTTCGAAAATGGTTAGCCTGAGGGCAGGAATATATCTTTTTTTAATCTATAAAATGTTTAGGCTGGGTTATCATTGGATGACTGTTGTTCTACACAGAGAAAAAGAGAGAAGGAGAGAATCCGGATTCTTTTTCATGCAAATAATGATCCCTCGTGAAAACTAGAAATAGAGAGACCAACACATAGGCAACCTCTTCTTTTGCAATGCAGAAGAGGTGCTCTACGAATTTACACCATCAACTGGGTAGGACCCTTGAGGGTCTCTCCTTCCAATGAACATCTCTAGCTTCCGTCCCAGAGGACTGGGCCCATGATAAATGCCAGTACAAGATGTCAGTAGAAACATGAGCCTGACCTGCAGGTTCTAAGCAAGTAAGAAAAGTCCCCCCAAGTTCATTCATTTTCATACACAGGATACTTTTGCGTCCTGCTAAATATCCTCATGTTTTAAATTTATTATTGAATTCGTACCCCTCCTTTCTGCTTGTGAAAGCAATCGAGATGGCTTACAGCCGCACCATTCAATCACTACTTTCTGATAGAGCCTCTTGTTAATCATTATTACAGAGAGCTAAAGTCCAGCGATACAGGCTCCCACATTTGAGCGGAGGGCTCCAAGGGTCTCCTGCCTAGGAGGAATAGAAACCAAGGTGGTGTTTGCATGGAATGTTAGACTGAAGTTGGAAGGCAAAGAATTCTCTGTGATGATGGTAAGACACTTAATCTAAGGCAAAAGGCGATGGGGGAAGTGGGTGCTATTTTTCTTTCTAGATGGATAAGAGGAATTTAGTTAGTTTAGAGGATAAGGACAATTTTAGAGACTGGATGAAAAACCTCTGGGTCAAAGGACCCTTACAGTACATCACAACCTTTTAAACTATCTCAAGGAAGCCATTCTCACTCCTGCACCCATCTGATCCCAGTTCCTTCTGTGACTTCACAATCTAACAGCTCTAAGAACCAAACAGAGCCAAATATGAGTGAAGACCGTGTCTTCCGAACATCCAGACACTTTCAGATCACCCATCTGATCTCAGAAAAGCTAAGCAGGTTCAGGCCTAGTTAGCAGTTGGATGGGAAACCACCACAAAGCCCCAAACTAGACAGGGAAATTGGAAAAGCACCCTGGAAAAAGGCAAATGCAACCCGCTTCCATATGGTTGCCAAGAAAATTACAGGGGTGCATCCACAAAGTCTCCAGGAATCAAGCTTGATTCAAGAGAAATGTTGCGTTCTTACTTTACTTGGAAGCCAGTTACAAGTACGCAGCTGAAAGGAGAAAACATCTAGAGGAAGCAGAACACAACAGAACTCAGCTCACGCATACTCCACCCCCCCGTTTTGCTTTAAATGTTGGCTTGAAAGGAAATCACAACCCGGTTGAGCCAAGTACAATTCACTTTCAACTGGGACAGAATGGCACGTTATTGTGTAAGCAAAGAGAGAAATTCCTGAGTCTGGGACTTTATGGTCTGGCATTACAGCTACATTATCCTTTGGGAGGAACAAAGACCCGTCTTATCATTCCATCCAACCCAATCCATGATCTCCACCTCAGATCCCAGGGAAGAAGGGAGATGGGAACAGGACCCATTGTTTTGGGGGTACAATGTTGAAGCCTGTCCTTTATAAAGGACACCTCCAAACTTCAACCCTGCTTAAACCTCTGGAATGCAGCTGATGTGATTGTGTATAGTTGGGTGCGAATGTGGGAAAACAGTATCCTTCAGCCCCCGTTCAAATCTTTTCCAGAAATACACAATAGCAGCAATGTTGTTTTTGTACAATGACAACTTCTTTTGTGTTCTTCTCTTGCATTCCAGACAAAAATAACTCCCCAGTCAATGAACTGGCTTTTAATAACCATCTGAAGCTCTGAGAAGCACAGCTCACAGCAAGTGATGGCCAACTTTTCTTCTTTTTTCAGTTGTTCCAGCAAGCAACTGAAATATTACAATGTTGAAGAGGAAGTACATTAATTAGCATTTTTCTCTGTCTATGACATCATCTCCTCTTGCTACTTTGACTGCATTTCCTGAAGAAGAAGTCACATTATTATGGTTGGTTGCACAGTCAACCAGATGTTTAGATTGCATTTGGCATTTTTATCCAGCTGTTGAGTCCTTCCCAAGGATCTGTTGCTGCTGTTGCTATTTTACTGTGAGCCACCTGGAATCCATAACTGGGGTGTCATACAAATCCTGTAAATAAGTAAGCAAATAAATAGAGAAGCACCTTTTCGAGCAAGAACCCTCTCAAACCATTGTCATATGTTTCTGCAGGAATGATCCTCTTTTCTATTACCTTTGCCACAGGCTGATAGGCCCTCCACAGAACAATGATTTAGAAAAATATCTGCCACACTCTGAATGACATTTGTACTGACATATCCCCAAAGACGAAACCATGATTAAATGAAGCTTAGCTCCAATCTGGCAGGTTGTCAAGTTAACACACTTGCTGAAAAGATGGGTTTTCTTGCAAGACTAACAAAATGCTTCTTTGGGTTCTTTTGCATTTCCTGTTCTACAAGCTACCTTAGAGCCAGTAATGCAAACCGAGTTATAGTTTTAAGAGATACTCCATATAACTCAGCTGCATTCTTTCCATAACATAAGAAGAGTTTGGGTTTATGGAAAATAGTCCGTCATCAATTTTTGTCTCTTGATGAAGCTTGCACCCTATGGAGTCAAAAGCAACTGGGATTCAGCAGTATCTTGGTTAACTGCAGATCCTGAACCTTAACAGTTTGGAAGGAGAGCATTAATGGTCTTACCTCTAGACTTTTATATATATATTCCCTTGCTTACACTCTGCAGGGGACCCTCCATTCCTCAGTACCAAGAGTCAGTGACTCTAAAATTGAACTAGGAACTTTCTCCAGGACCTATCCAAGTCAGACAACTGGGGAAATCATGAAAGGAATCATGGGTTGTAACTATACAGCAACTGCAGTCCCTCACAAAAGATGGGAGAGAGGAACAGATCTTCACCATGGAGAACAAATGCTCCTTCACTAAATTCATCCCTCCACTGTTTTATGATAATTAAACTAGACCAAAAGTTTTCAAACCACGGGTTGGGGACCCTCAGGGATCATGAACAACTTAGTCAACTTTTTTTAAAAAAAATCTGATTAGGTTTGTGTAAGCAAAGTGGGAGGACTATCAAAACTCCTGCCGGTCTCTGTTCCTTATTTTGCTTGCTCTCAACGAGGCTTGCCATACTAAGAATGCTTGTGAGGCATAGATTAAAATTGGGTTATTAAAAGGAAATGGGATATTTCCTTCTTGCCTAACCCTGGCATCAATACAATCATGAGTTTTATCCATAGAAGCGAACATGTCTAGCTCAGGGTTGAACGGTGGAGTCTTTGGGGTTCTCTGAGCTTGGCTGTTTGCTTGCAGACGTTTCGTTACCCACCTAGGTGACATCTTCAGTGCTCCCTGGGAGGAGGAGGATGGTTTGGTCCTTCTTTAGGTTTTTGAGGGCTGCTCTGTCCTCTGCTTTGAGTTGGTGCTGATTCCGTGCTCTTCTGATCTGTGGTATGAATGTCTGCCTTATGTTTTCTTGGGTCTCTGTGTTAAGTCCTGTGGTTTTGAATGCTGCTTCTAAGGCTGCGCAGAATTCTAGCTGATTATGTTATAGTCGAGGTCTTTCTGGAGGATGCTGTGTTCTGCAGTGGATAGCGGTCAGCTGATAGCACTGAAGATGTTCCCTAGTCGGGTAACGAAACTTTTGCAAGAAAACAACCAAGCTCAGAGAACCCCAAGGACTCCACAATTTTATTCATGGGAAACTGCTGTCACACCAAAGTATTTACTGCAGCATTTCAGAAGCACTAAGCTGGGTCTTTTGACATCTAACTTTCCATGCTGCTCTGCAAATATTTTAGGGCAGTGTTTCTCAACCTTGGCCACTTTCAGCTGTACGGACTTCAATTCCCAGAATTCCCCAGCAT